AGAACATTGTATTGTGCCACGCCCAACAGAAATAACCCAGGTGGGCGACTTTAAAATCAGGATCTCTTCCGTAGCTAATAGCAATTCCCACCTTAGAGTTTACAAAGACTTATGGGTAGAAAAGCCACACTAAGTAATTTACTACACCGCAAGGAGGCAGAGCTGGCCGCCAAGGTTGAGGGGCTTTCACTCAGCCCCTAGAGCCTGGCACTTTGCACTTGGACTTAAAGCCTCCAAATTGTAAGAATAAACGCCTGTTTGTTAAGGCCATCCCATTTGTGGTATTTTCTTGTTAGAGCGGCACCAGGGAGCCAGAGCATTATCCATTGGTGGTGGGACTGCGAAATGGTACAGCCCTTAGAACAGTCAACCATGGGAGAAAGGAAGGGCAGCATCCGCTCAGAGCTCAGGGGCAGGACTGCATAGGCGAGAAGGACACAGGGAAGAGGTACCCACAGGGAGGAGGTGGGAAGAGAGCTGTGACGTTGTGGGGATTGCAGTCAATGTCATGAGACAAAATGGGTATTAACTACTGTAAGGAAAATGAATTCTCTCCGTGAACTTTCGCCCAAATCACACACACACACACAAAGGCAGTGGGAAGAGGGCTGTGACATCGTGGGGATTACAGTCAATGTCATGAAACAAAACTCTTAAAAAAAAATGGTCCGGCCCTCGGGGAAAATAGTGTGGTAATTCCTCAGAAAAACCAAAAATAGAACCCTAGGATCAGCAATTCCACCCCGAGGTGCTTAGCCAAGAGACTGGAAAGCAGAGAGTCAGAGACTTGTGTATAAAATTCAGAGTATTTGTACATAAAATGTTGGAAGCAACCTAGAGGTCCGTCAGTGGATGAATAGATGACAGAAACGCGGCCCATACGCACAGTGGACATATGAGATGCTCGTGCGTGTACACACAGTGTGGATGGAGCTGGAAGACGTATACTGAGTGCAGTCAGTCAGTGACAAAAGGACAAATGCTGCATGACCTTCCTTATTAATAAAAAGACAAGAGCAGACACATACATAGAGGCCGAAGTTGATGAGTGGTTACCAGGGACAGGAAGGAGGGGGAGAGGAGAGGAGGGGATTGCTGGTGATGGAAAAGTCACATTGATTCCAGGTGGGACTGCACTGGTGGTTATTGGAATTGCTGTCAATAACTGTACACCTGTAAATACTTGAATTGGCAGAAGTCATGTGATAGATATATTTACAACAATGAGGAAAAATCCCAAAAAAGTAGCTGCTGAGGCAGCTTATGTACAACCAAAACCTCATGGGATTTGGTTCCTTGGTTTGGAGGTTTAGAGTCATGGTTTCATGGGACATCACATTAACTGGCCTAATAACATGTATAGGTCTTCTGTTTGACCTCCTAGTTTGTGGCATAGTGCTTCAGGCCTTAAAAAACTTGTAAGTGACCATCAAAGATGTGAAAGTTGGCCTCAGTTTGGCTGGAGGAACAGAGGAAGGAGAGTCAGGAATAGAGAAGGCTGTACAGAAGGTGTGGGTCATGGCCTCCGAGAACAGCTGCCTCCTTTGCCATGAAACCAGAGCTGGTTGGTGCCTGGCTACTGTAACTGAACATTTTGATCAAAAGGGGGAAAATGCAGAACAGAATTTCAACTTCTCAACCTGCATGGTTGAAAGGAGCTGAGGGAGCCTTTGCCCACATGCTTCCTGATCCTGATTGCAAGTTGTAGCCTGTTCCTTAATAAACCACTTAACTGTAATATGGTCTGTGAGTTCTGTGTGGCCACTGCAATGGACTGTTGAACCCTAAGAGGAGCAGAAAGTGCCATTGGGGGACACCTGGGGTCAGAATTGGCAGAAAGATTGGACGGTGGAGGTCTGTCTGACCTCTTCCTCACAGGTATCAGCTTTGGGCTGATCCCGGCCCTTGTCCCCCCCCTGAAGATGGATAGGTCCAGACACGACCACTATGCCACTTTCACACATACACAGTCCCCTACATTTGGAAACCCACCAGGCTGAGTGATTTTTTAGGTTTCTTTTTTTTAAGAAGGAGATTTCCATGAAGGTTATAGAACTGTTATGTTCCAGTTAGAGCAGTATTAGGGACAGTGTATACCAGTGTGTCTGTGGCTCACAGGGTTTGTGGGAAGAAAAGGTTAACTTGAGTAGGAGCTGTTAAGAGGCAGAAGCAGTATCAGGCTTCCTTGAGAAGTTCCTTGTCTGGCTGACATGGGAAGAGGATTTTGGTGTGGATTATCTGGAGTATAATATTCAAACCCACAGCCGTGGAGTCAGTTCCAGCTCACAGCGCCCCTAGAGGACAGAGTGGAACTGCCCCACAGGGTCTCCAAGGCTGTCAATCTTCACAGAAGCAAAGCCCAAACCACACCCACTGCCGTGGAGTCCATTCTGACTCACAGCGCCCCTAGAGGACAGAGTGGAACTGCACCACAGGGTCTCCAAGGCTGTCAATCTTCACAGAAGCAAAGCCCAAACCACACCCTCTGCCGTGGAGTCCATTCTGACTCACAGCGCCCCTAGAGGACAGAGTGGAACTGCCCCACAGGGTCTCTGAGCGTGCAGTCTTTACAGAAGCAGACTGGCACATCTTTCTCCCACAGAGTGGCTGGTGGGTTTCAACTGCCAACTTTTCGATTAGCAGCAGAGTGCTTTAAGTACTGTGCCACCAAAGCTCCTTCTGGATAGCAGTGGGGTGATTTGTGAAAACAATATAAATGAATTATTGGTGGGAAACAAATTGTGCTGTATGTGTTGTAAATTGCGAGTGCGGCAAAAAGACCGTGTTGTCAGTTGCTGTCACCTCATTTCCGACTGCTGGCGACCCTGTCTGTGCAGGGCAAAACTGCTCCGTAGGGGTTTCAGGGCCGTGACTTGTCAGAATCTGATCACCAGGCCTGTCTTCTGAACTGCCAGCCCTCCAGCTAGTAGTGAGTGCTTACCTCTCGGTGCCACCCAGGGACCCCAGCGATGAGATGCTGTCTGTCCTGAGAGAAAGCAGCACAGCCCGGGTGGCCCCGTTCACGGCTGCTCTCACGGAAAACCTCCTCTCTCCACAGAGCCAAAGCCGGCCGTCGGCCCCTGTCCCTCCTGCCTCCTGGCTTCCTCCTGTCAGCGGTTCCTCGGCCCACATGTGCTTCCGATCCTCCCAGGCTCGTGTGCAGAGAACCACCTCCCTCCAGGGGCGTCCAGGCCCGGGCGACAGAAGCAGCAAGAGCAGCAGGGCTCTGCTCCGAGCTGCCGGGGTGAGCACACGGGCGGTCAGCGGAGAGGAGAGCCCTCCAGACCCTGGTGTGGGAGGGCAGGGGAGCGAGAGGGTGCACGGGCTGGCTGCAGCCCGCCCCCCAGACGGGCCACGGGCCCTGGGCAAGGCAGCACGGTGGTGGGAATGGAGCCCCGCTGCGGCCAGAGGGTGAACTGTGCGGAAACAGACAGACAGCGGAAGGCGGTGGAGACCTCGAGACGTGGAGCCATCAGCTCTAGAGAGGATGAGGCAGACGGTGGCCCGAAATCAACCTTCGTCAACCAGAGGGCCGTCTTCCGGGAGAAGCCCTGTGTCTGCAGTGAGGGCGGGCGAGGCTTTAGCCGCAAGTCAGCCCTCAGGCTGCACCAGCCGACCCACTCAGGGGAGAAGCCCCACGTGTGCAAGGAGTGTGGGCGAGGCTTTACCCAGCGGTCAGTCCTGCTTACACACCAGCGGACACATTCGGGGGAGAAGCCCTACGCTTGCAGTGAGTGTGGCCGAAGCTTTACCCAAAAGTCAGGCCTCCTGTATCACCAGCGGACACACTCAGGGGAGAAGCCATACGTGTGCAAGGAGTGTGGCCGAGGGTTCAGCCACAAGTCAATTCTCATCCGGCACCAGAGGACACACTCGGGGGAGAAGCCTTATGTGTGTAAGGAGTGTGGGCGAGGCTTCAGCCAGAAGTCTGGCCTCCTGATGCACCAGCGGACACACTCGGGGGAGAAGCCCCACGTGTGCAAGGAGTGTGGCCGAGGGTTCAGCCAGAAGTCCGGCCTCCTCTACCACCAAAGGACACACGCAGGGGAGAAGGCCTATGTGTGCAAGGAGTGTGGGCGAGGCTTTAACTGGAAGTCCGTCCTCCTCATACACCAGAGGACACACTCGGATAAAAAGCCGTACGTTTGCAGCGAGTGTGGCCGGGGCTTCACCCAGAAGTCGGGCCTCCTCATGCACCAGCGGACACACTCAGGGGAGAAGCCACATGCGTGCAAGGAGTGTGGGCGTGGCTTCAGCCAGAAGTCCGGCCTCTTCATGCACCAGCGGACACACTCGGGGGAGAAGTCTTATGTTTGCACTGAGTGTGGTCGGGGTTTTAATTGGAAATCTGTCCTCCTCCATCATCAGAGGACACACTCAGGGGAAAAGCCACATGTGTGCAAGGAGTGTGAGCGAGGCTTTCGGGACAAGTCGAGTCTCATCAGACACCAGAGGACACACTCAGGTGAGAAACCGTACCTGTGTCTGGAGTGTGGGCGTGGCTTTATCCAAAAGTCAGGCCTCATTGTGCACCAGCGGACACACTCTGGGGAGAAGCCGTACGTGTGCCTGGAGTGTGGCCGGAGGTTTAGCCAGAAGTCAGGCCTCCTTGTGCACCAGAGGACACACTCAGGGGAGAAGCCACACGTGTGCAAGGAGTGTGGGCGGGGGTTCAGCTCTAAGCAGAGCCTTACCAGACATCAGCGGGCTCACTCGGGAGAAGCCCCGTGTTTGCAGTGAGCGTGGCCGAGGCTTGAACGTAAATCATTCTGACACCAGAGGACATAGCATAGAAGCTGTGTGTGTGCAGGGAGAATGGGGGGATTTAGGAAGAAGGCACATTTCACTATGCATCAGAGAACACTTTTTGGGAGAAGCCGTGTGTGGACACAGAGTGTGAGGGACTTTAGGAATGAGCTTTACTACTTCTTAACCCTTCAAAGACCAAATGTGCCAGCTCTGAATTTTTTGTTGAAATCATGTATTTTCAATAATGGTAGACATGTTAAATGAAGTGAAAAAGTGTTTTTAAGGTAATGTGGATTTTGATACAGTTAGTGCATAGTGCCTAAGGCATTTGACTGCTAACCAGAAGGCTAGTGGTTCACACCCACTAGCCACTCCTCAGAAGGAAGGTTGGACTATCTACTTTCATGGTGATACCACCTCAGAAACTCAAGGAGGGGTCGCTATGAGTCGGATCCAACTTGACAGCAGTAAGTGGGACACATACGTACGAAGGGATCTGTGGTGCTGGGATGGTGGGATAAAGCCCATGTCTTCAGATTCACGCAGTTATATAGGTTGCCACTCGATGACAGTGTCCGCTAAAAGTGGGATACCGTCTTCCCATTTAACCCCAGTAGGAGAAAATGTAGATGGGCACTGTGTGTCCCACGGGTCATAAAAACGTTAAACTGGAAGATGCATTTGGGGAGAAGAGTTGTGTGGGCAGGGTCTGTGGATGGAACTTCATTCCAGTGTCCCTCCTCAGCTAGCCCAAGAGGACAAATAGTGGCACCAGAAATCACTGCTCACCCACCTAGAGTTAGGAGGGGTCTCCTGAGGGCCTGTGCTCCGGATGAGGGTGAAGGCGTCAGTAGTAACTATAGAAATTGTTCCACATTCTGTAACCAAATGGAAGAGAAGAGTAGGCGGCTTTCCTTAGTCATCGAAGAATGGTCGACTTACTTTCATACACCCCGTTCCTTTGTTTTGTTAAACTTTCATTGTAGTAAAAATTTTTTAATAAACCCTCACTTGGGCTTTGTTGCTTATCTGTACTGAAGGTACATGGAATTCAAATCGACAGTCCAAGTGTCTTACATGAGCCGGACCCTTAAGGAAAAATAAGTCCTCAATGTACTTGTCGTTGAACCTGGCCCTTTGTGTGGGAGAGGAGTGAGCTAGGGTTTGGAGACAGACGCCAGGTGAAGGGGGGGACTGTCCCACGTCTCCAGGGGCTGCGTTGTGTCTTCTCCTAACTGGTCACTCTTCTGGAACTGCCGCCTCCTGTGGGCTTCTGCGGGCGCTCGCTTGCCTGGTTCCCCTCGTGCTTTCTAGCGTATTCCAGCCTGCTGGAGCTCGCTCCGTCCATCCAAGTGCTGCTGGTCCCTAACGCTCTGTTGCCAGTCCTAGCTCCAGGGTCTTTTTAAACCACCCACTGTCACTCACCTTGCAGTCGTCTTTCCAGAGCCTTCCAGGTTCCAGGGTCAGAGTTGTCCAGTCTTGTTGCTTTGGGCCTCTCGGCTGCTCCCCATGTCGTGTCAACAATGATAGGTCTGAAGACTCCTAACCACGTTTCTAATACCAGGTGCGAGGACCTTTAGCTATGTCCTCAGCCCTCTGGTCCTGGGACCCAGTCCTGCTGGTGACACTGCCACACCATCCTGATACCGGCCGTGAGACGACCGAGCCACGCCACCTCCGTTGGTTTCACTGCAAGGACCTGCCTGGAGCCACGGCCCTTCCCCGTGCTGCTCTTTCGGAGCCCGGCTTGCCCAGTGTGGGGAGACCTCTGCCTGTCCTGGCTGCCACCCCGTGTGCTGGGCAGCAGCCGTGCACCGGGAGGGGTGCCGTGGCCCCAGCAGGTGTGTTTGCCGTGCTGGAGTTTGCTGGGTCCACAGAAGGGGCGTCAGACTTCGAGGGTCAGGAAAAGCGTAGCGTGCATTTGACGTCTTATCAGAGCAGGGCACGGACGACATCAGAGGAGGCCCGGCCACGGCCTCTGCCCACTCCCCTGTAACCCCCATAACACCAGGACTGTGTCTTCTTGGGACCGGAAGCCATGGAAAAGCCATGTATGTGGACGTGTCATGTCTTGGGGTTTGAGAAGGGAGGAGTCCAGGTAAGCCCAAGGCCCCCTCCCAGCTGTGGGGAAAGAAATGTGATCAAGACCTGGGCCCTCCTTGTGAGAAAAGAATGGAAATAAGGACCAAACGGAGCAGGCCGTTCCTACAGAAGTCCCCCATCACTGGTAGCGACCTCAGGCGTGTCCAGGGAAATGTCAGTGTCAGCCCAGCAGTGGCAGGAGGCAGTGGGGTCACGTGTGCAGACCTGGCCAGGCTTTCCCCGGACTACGCTGGCTTCCTCCTCCGTCTCCCAGGAGGGCCTGGCATCAGGTCCCCAGCCATCGTCCATCCCAAGGGAGCAGAACTGGGCTGTGCTGAGGTCTCCCTCAGAAAGTGGGGGAGTGGGTGGGGGAGGGTCGTAGAAAGCGGGGAACAAGGCCCGGCCCCTCCAGCGCCCCCCGCGTTGGCTTTGGCGCTCCAGGAAATGTTTTTTGTTAGGAGCCCTGGGCATCTTTCTGACGTTAGTTAAGTGGACTCGAACTCGGGTTCCTGCAGAAGGCAGACAAGGTCAGCTTATGAGAGAACCGTAAACTGGGGGGACCCGGATGGGGGGTTTTGGCAAACCAGGAAGTGTACGCTCAAGTCACTTCATGGCGTCCTTGCTGGTCTCGCCACTGGGCCTTACTCCAGTCCCAACTCTAGGCACCGTTAGGCATTTTGATTTAATTGTCCAAAAGCTCTGCGCTTTGTCTGACCTACGACCTTGACCTCAGAGCCCGCATCCTTCCTCACCTTCCCTTGGATAGTTGTCTTCATGTTGTTCTGTCCGCAGTCTGATGGAAGGTGGTAGTGGGTCTGGAACCTGAATGTCGGTGTTGGTGCAGAAGCAGTAGTAGCGGCGGTGTGGGGGCCGCCGGTCATCGGCTCCCGCCTTTTCCCTACTTCCCACTGCCTTTGGGAAGCAGGAGGCTGTTTTTTCACTGGGAGAAACCGCTTGCTTTGATATATTTTATGCTACTGAGAATCGTTGGGGTCTTGCTGCCTCTTTTGAGTGCTGGTGCTAATACCCTAGGGGAGTCGCAGCGGGGCTGTCCTTTCCGAGTCTAGGGGACACTTGCCACCAGAGGAGGCTTCCTTGGTGTTTGAGAGGAGCCCCACCTGTGAGAATCTTTTAACTTCACACACGACTGGAGGTGTGTCTGCCAAATGCCGACACGTGAGATTTGCTGCCGGCAGTACAGGAGCGACATGGGGGTTGGAGACACGCTTTGGGGCACGGGGACACTGAAGAGAACGGAAGGTGAGCGTGAACAGCAGGGAGCGAGCGACCAGGAGAAACGTGGGAAGTCAGCAGCACTGGCCCACCCGGAGCGGGCGTGTGCACAGGCAGAGGCCACGCCTCTGGAGGCGTGGTCTGGGAGCCAGCCGGTGCTTGATTGGATGTAGGAGAGGAGGCGTTCCGAGGACTCCCCCTACAGCCTTCCGCCACCAGGAGCAGAAACAGAACCTAAGCCTCAGAACGCGCAACCTGTGTTCGCGGTGCTTGGCTGTCGCGACCCCGTAGTGTGACGCAGCCGGGGCTTGCCACCGGGAGAGGGTCAGCCGACAGCCAGCACCCCCAGGCCCGTGAGGGAGGCCACTGCGATGACCCAGCTCTAGTCCCTCTGCCCAGTAACCATGAGGGAGGGCAGATGAGAAGAAGAACCCCCCAGTCAGCCCACCAAACCATGTTGCTATTTGGCAAAAGGTAACGGAGCTGGTTTTGTAGTTGTGGTCAGTGTATTGAAGGCATACCCCGCGCCAATGCCCGCGCGGGCTTCCTGGTCGCATCCTCTCATCCTTCCTCCATACCCCATCAGGGAAGTACTGTCACCTGCACTCACAGGCGAGGAACCTGACGCGCAGGTCACGGGGTGAGGAGGTGCAGGAGCCGGTCCCAAGCCCAGGCTTCACCCGCACTGATGGCTCTAAACCTCATTCCTCTGCCCCAGACGGTAGTGCGAACATGACGTCCACTGTCTCAGCAGCTCCTGTGACGCTCATGCTCCCTCATTCAGGAGGGTTTGCTGCTGCCTGGCGTGGAGCAGAAACGGTGCTAACGCCTGGGAGTGCGGCAGTGCATCACACTTACCTCCACGCACACGCACGCGCACGCACGCACACGCACACGCACGCACGCACGCGCTGCCCACACCAGAAACAATACCGAAAGCAGTGTCAACACAAGGCTCTCCAAGTTACTGTTCTCAACAGCTGGGCCACCCTTAGCACTGTCAGGCCCTGCTCTGGACACAGCATCCGTTCTCATCCCCCACACCACCTCACAGGCATGTCCTGTTGTCCCTGTCAATGAAGACAAGGTCAGAGATGAATAATCTTGTCCTGGTGGCACAGTGTTTAAGCACTCAGTTGCTCACCTACAGGTCAGCGGTTTGAACCCACCAGCTGCTCTGGGGAAGGAGGATGAGGCAGTTTGCTTCCATGATTGACAGCCTTGGAGACCCTGTGGTGCAGTTCCACTCTGACCTCTAGGGGCGCTGTGGGTCAGAATAGACTCCATGGCAGTGGGTTTGGTTTGGGCTTTGCTTGTGAAGATTGACAGCCTTGGAGACCCTGTGGTGCAGTTCCACTCTGTCCTCTAGGGGTGCTGTGAGTTGGAATCAACTCCAGGGCAGTGGGTGTGGTTTGGGCTTTGCTTCCATAGACTAACAGCTTTGGAAATCATGTGGGGCAGTTCCCACTCTGTCCTCTAGGGGCGCTGTGAGTCAGAGCAAACTAGATAACAGGTGCTTCCGTGATGAGCCCCATAACTGTGAGTAGTCTCTGTGAGTTCTCTGTGGCCATTCCAATGATTACCGAACCCTGCAAGGCAGTGACATGGGAGGGCAGATGGTGTCAGTTTGTAAAAAGGTTGGGGGACGGGCAGCATGGGGGACGTGTGCCACACCT